AAATCACGAAGAGAAGAGGTCCTAGTCATGAGCGCTAGCGGACCCCACTAGAACATTCTATAGCCTGAGAGAAAGTAAAGTTAACCCTGACATCAAAGTGTCGACTTTTTTTATATATGAAGTGAGCCAGTCAATTAGAAGTGGTTTGATACCCGATCGTTTATGCTCATTGATAAGACATATATGGTTGACCCTATTAAAAGCTTTTGAGAAGTCAAGGTAAATGATGTAAACCTCCCTCTTCCGATCAAGGATGGTTGTCTATTTGTCCACCTTGGTCAGGAGGTTGGTTATACAAGAGTGACCTTTCCTGAAACCATGATGTTGGGGTGAGAAGAGGTTCAAGGATAATAGGTAGTCGTGTATACCATCACATATCAGAGACTCTACAATTTTCGAGGTTACTGAGAGAATAGCTACTGACCGGTAGCTTGAAGTTTCGCCGAATGGACCTCCTATGAAAATTGGTGTAGTGTGAGTCAGCTTCCAAATTTCCGGTAGTTTGCCTCGACTTAGCGGGTGTAGGAACGTCACTCAAAGCGATTTTGCCAGGATTGGAGCTGTTTCTCCTAGTATAGCCGAATGAACCATATCCAGGCTATGAGGAATCTATTTCCTTAGGTGTTGCTGTGGTGTTGGCTACTTATAACTATTAAGTAGTATATAATTTTCGTCAGGCATTGAAGATCGATAACCGAAGAACGGAAACGAAACTCAATTGGTATGAAAATACATGTACAATAATAACCGGAGACTATGGACTGATATTTGCAGAAGAGTCAATATTGAGACAATTGATCGATAGTTTTCAAATTAACTGTTCACTGTATAGTTGTCAAATTTCAGTGAGATAGTCCGTTGTTCTCATGTCAAATACATTCGATTGTCCTCACTTGTTTTCTTGTTCACTACAAAGCAGTTTCCAAAACACCAGGTTCAATTCGGAAAGTCCTGTGCAGTTGCAGATGAAGCTTTCATCAGTATGGTTGATGTGGGTCGGTTGAAATATCCGAGAGTATTGTTCAACCGTAATGGTAACTACATCATCGTTGTTATTGGACAGGCTATTACGACCTAGCCGTTGGGAAATTCCTGTCAATATCTCTCTCTTTGTTTTCACTGTGCGTCCTTGTTTGTTTACCATTTCATCACCGTCATTTTCCACGTTTGCTGGCAACCTAGTCCGCAGACCCTTCGATAAGACAATGATGTTACCCAGCAAAAACTATAGCATTCATGTTCCACATGACACATGCTCACTTAGCATCCGAATTGCCGATCTGCTGTAAGCAGATGCTGTAATGTCTGCGCACGCTTCATGGAACCGCATGTCAGATGTAATAGCAAAACGAGATCCGGGTCGTTTGCATGATGCTTTCATAACTATATAGACGTAAACTATTTTATAGATGCAAGCAGAAAGCCTAAGACCGTTAAAAAATGTAATGCACTAAAACTAGGAAAAAATGGATAAAAACGGGCTACGATTACTTGAAACTAACCTTCTCGTGAAAAAATAAAAAAAACCGAATAGTAAGCTGAGGCGAAACCTCAGTTAACTATTAAGTTGTGTGAAACTCGAAAATCTAATCTACCGAACACATAGTTCAGAATAAACTCTTTAGATCAGAAATGGTGCTTTTGTTGCGTAAGAACACAGCAAAAGTTTGAGAAATGCAAATCACGTTAGGACTAAACTTCCCGTCCGAAAAGCGCACTGGAGTATGGATGACTGTATAATAAATGTAGTTGTATCTGTCAAAGCAGCTACATGGTATAACATAACGAGGGGCATGTCTTTGTATTTTCGAACATGTTCTAATAAGTTTTCAGACAAGAGAGAGAACTACTCCTAATAGATTAATTAGTAAACATTTCATGGATGCAGGACACCGGGTTGATACCCGTTTTCTGATAAAGGAATCTTGTTTAAATTAACTGAAGCTTAACTATCTTATTGTAATTTATTATCACTGTTAACTCGTTACGTAACAACTTATTTCTAGGCCTTTGAACCTTTGTTACCATCGCTGCCGCAAAATGCTCTTTTGTATAAGGTATATGCTTGCGATATTTTATTCACTCTATTAAATTTATTAACACGCTTGCTATACTAAACTGAATAGTTTTAGAAGCAATTTCAAGATAAACTCTTTTGTGTAAGTAATTTAAAACTATTTTGTAATTAGGATTTTTGAATAGCACAGGTTGTATAGTTATCAATCCCAAGGCTGAACTTGACAGTTTCAAATAAATTGGGTGGAAAGTAAAAATTAAATATGTATATTTATACCCTCATGTGTAGAAAATCGTACTTCTGATGTTTCTTGACTTAATATAAGTCACACCTTCAGAGCAAATAAATAACTGAATTAAATTAACAGAAGTTTAAATGATAAAAAGGAAACAATGCAGTTTTTTTGATAGAATGAAAATCATGATAGACCTGAATATGTGAGTGTCAAGTCGCTTGCTTTTTTATTTATTCTTACTTACTCACTCTGAGGAAGAAGCTTATATAACGCCACGGAAGGTCAGAAATACGATTTTCTACACATTGGGATAGAAACACAAAATGTCTGTTATTACAGGCTGTAGGTAGCTGACGCGGACTAAACGAGATAAGACGCATTTATGTTATTCTGCTTTCTCCTTTCGAAACGATAAAGGGATCTATGTATATGAAATGATGTTTAACATTGACCACGTGCACGTTTGTTTATCCAACGAACGATTTGTGAGTAAATTTGAGAATTCTTCCACACAAAAGCAGTAAGTTGGCTAACAAGTGGAACTAATAGGCATGATGCATCATACTCATAGGATTACTGGCTGGTATCTTGTTTTTAGTAGTTCTCCTTGTCGATTTCATGGCATTCCACCTTATAATAAATTGTCTTGTCGGCCTTACTATGTTTTCAACAAAAGCGGTGAGGTTCTACAGAGCAACAAATTTCTAAGATCAGTTTAGGAAGAACGCTTGGTGGATTCTTGAGCAATCAGGTCCCGAAATCGAATGTTTGCCTACATATTCTTCCATTGTTAGCAAATAGTGATTACGCTGTTTCGTCATTCGTATTCACTGCTTGTGATGGGAAACAATCAGGTTGGACCTCTCCCACATCTGTGGAGAGCAAACGTTACTTTCGCACTAGAGTGTGCTGCAACAGCAAGCTGTTCAACAAATACTACCTCATCAATTAAAAATGCATGGTTCATATTTGAAGGTACACTCACCTCAGTAATGGTTCAGTTGATGCTATGCTTAGTGTCATATTGATAATAACAACCCATCACCATATACAACTAAGTCAAGAACCTTTTTAGATGTAAGAAGCACTTTGATACTCTTATATTTGCAGCACAGATTCAAATTTATGAGACTGAGAACACTTGCAGGACATTGATGAGATACTCAAAACTTCCGTCCAAAAAACAATTAATTAAAGAATTGTAAACATAGATCGGCAATGTTTCCCTTCATATATAAGGAGGCGAACTAAGGGAAGTGATGAGATACCATCAATTTCGGTAAAATAAAATCTGTCGATATTGGAAAATGATATTGCAAAAGCTGAAGATTTACTAAAATATTTTAGTAAAGTATTATCTACCGACAATAGTGAAAGATCAATAATTAGTTTTATTAATGATGGCTTATCGATGGATCCTGACGATTTTCAGAAAGGAGCTGTCTTAAGATTAATTTAACTTCTCGAACCTGATATGTCCAGTGTTCCTGATGATACTCATCCTAGGATTATGAAGGCCCTAAAGGAGGTAACTGATGGACATCTGCCAATACTGTTTGGTATGTCTTTGCAGCAGTCAAAACTGCAAGGAGAAAGGAAAGACGCAATTATCAGTCCGGTGTATGAAGTGGGGATTAGAAACTGAATTACTGACTATTGACCCTTTAGACTAACAAGTGTAATCGTTAAACCAATGGAAAAGACTATTCAGATGGCAATTCTAAACTATGTGGGATGAAATAATCTTTAAGCAAATCCTCTCATTACAAAAGAAGACTGGGCTGCTGCTAAGGTTTTACTGTTCCCTTACTTTTCTGAGTGTGAACGTCATTAAGTCATTGATCTTATTATGTCTCTTGATCACATCGTCTACAGAGCTCGGGATGTGTTCCTCCACAGCCTGGTTTGCGCTGTATGAATCCCGATCTGAAACTGTTGACACACCCATCTTGGAGCTTCCCATAATTTATTTCTTCCCGAAAAGCTGTTTCTTTTTCTCGTGACCATACCTAAATCCATGCGTCTGTTATCTGTCACGTTAATGCGGCCTATCTTGATGGTTCCATTAAAATCCAAAGCTGAACTCATGATAACTCTCTCTGGTTCCTAGAAAACTAAAAGCTGTTCATCTGCTGCTGCCTGTTTATCTGAGGGCATCTTTCTAGCTATGTTCAGGAGCTAAGTAGCCTCAGGGATCATCGACGACTTTGTAGAACAGCATGCTCTGCACAACCGTGTAAGTGGCTTGAAGCACCTTTTATATGCAGCCGGTATGAAAACATTTGTCGAAGTTACCACCCTGAAAGCCATTCTTGACAGGAAAAAAGCATACAGGTTTACACAAGGATGTTTTTACCCGCACCATTAAAATTATTAGTGATCGCACAGAGAGAAAGACAACAAAAATCCCTTGAACGTCAAAAAATACACTAACGGAAAACTGATCCCTAGAATAAGTGTTTTTCTAAGGCTCTAAAGGTAATAGACACTAAACACAAAGAGCTGAGATGTACATGCTACTGTAAGTGAAAAATCCGACCTAAATGATTATAAAATGCCTCTCTATTTTCTGATACAATCAATAATAAAAGATTTGTTTCGCGCCCATCTACTCGGTATTATATATAGACTGATAAACAGAAAATTCATACTATAATGATACATGGTTTTAGAAATTCAGTTTAATCGTGTCACAAGACTAAGGTACTGATACAATTGGTAGTTAGCAACCGCATAAGCTTTTTCGCTTATGCTCCAAGAGTGGCCTTTGAATTTGAACGTTACTCTAATGTAATTGTGACATTGTCATTTTCTGTTGATGTAGTTGTTTCTAGTGCAAATTTTGTGAACAATTAACTTCTCTAATATTTTAATATTTGTAGTCTATCAGGTTCCAATAGAACTATGTCTGATCAATAGAAAGGAGTTCAAAGATATCTCGTTTGCATATATTCGTTCCATGTTTGTCGTTAAGGCCTTGGCCGTTTGGTTCTCTTTCAAATTGTTGTCACTCAAATTTGTCGGGCTATCAAATTTTACATCGGTAGTTCATTCGTTTCTTGTTGAGGTTTCCCGTTAAAATAATTAGTGAGTTGTTTCAGCGAGACTATAATTTGTGTACGAAACAATGAAATCAAGGGCTGCAAGTCTTGGATCTCGGTGGAAAAATTGCTTGTTATAATAGATGGACAGCATTTTTAGCATTATATCTGATGTCAGCTCGTGTTGAAAATCCATACTTTAATTCCTAATCCTAATTGTATTTTAAGCGTGGTTTGCACTTTTTCCAAAGACAAGCCCAAACAGTCCATTTTATTCCTAAGTGGATACATCTCTATTGTTCCGTTCAAGACGTAAGGTTAGGAAGGTCTACCTAACCTAATTTTTTTAGTTTTGTTGTGGGTGACATCCTGGGGATAGCTTTGATGGATGTAAGTAAAGGTAGTGTGGGCTCTGTTACCTGAAGAGAAAAAGTTTCGACCCTGAGTATGCTGGTGATATTGTCTTTCTGTAATGATACTCAAACCATGCAATCCTCACCGATTGTTGTTCGTACACATGGCATGTACTTTACACCTAAGTGTGAAGTGATTATGCAAGACCGGCTGAAGCCTGTGCCTGCACTTACTCTTGGTAGTGAGTATTTAGATGTGGTTGAGTTCGTCTATATGAGTAGCCATGTAGGTGTTTATGGCGGCGTGATTGATATGACCAATCTAGATATGGCTAAAGCTGGAGTGGCTTATGTCAAACTGATCGTCTATGGCGCTGTTGAGATATTAGTCTTACTGTTAAAGGTCGAGTTTACAACGCGACAATGGGAGTTTTGTACTATTCATGTGAAACGTAGCTTCTCCGATTCGAATATGCTAAGTGATTCTGCGTTCAATCATTGTTGTCGCGAAGGTATTGTTAACACCTAGTAGCAACACCTTTTTAGTAATTCTGAGGTTTGGAAACGTATTTTCATATACTAACGACAATTCAGTTGCTGTCACCATCTCAAAACACTTGCTTCGGTGACCTGAAGATGTGCTTCGAACATCGTCCCAGCGAATTGCATCTTGTATATTATTTGCCGACGGTGGAACTGTCTGGGAAAAGTGGAGAGGTGGTCAGTTTGTGACGTAGTGCTTGGGTATGGAAGAAAGCTGTACAGAACTGGCGTGTCCATCCTTCACGACTCTCTGGTCGCGGTCGCGGGAATGGTGCAACACAGTGGCTTAAAGCTATATTAGATATGGCTCAAAATAAAAGTCAGTGGCGGTACTGCTGTCATTTTCCTTTATTTTATCCATAGAAATGGAGGAAATTTCTTCGATTAAACTAATTAGTCCTAGCTGTATTTTTCCTTATCGAAATCCCATTATACTGTTACTTTCAATCCATCTTTGTTCATTTGCTTTTTAAATCTTTAATCTCTTTTCAGTCCCATTTATTGTGTGGTAAATATTTATTTGGGTTTCCGTTTGTGCTAATATTTGTGTTCAGGCAAATGATGGTGATTCATATTAAATAGATAGGTAAAGACCACACTATACATTGTTCGTCTTACTAATTTACTTTTTTTTTAAATATCTCGTACTACCATACAATGTTTTCGGGATGTACCTATATCTAAAGAATATGAAACTATCTCGCTGACTGGAAATCATTATGTATTGTTCCCTTTCAAAAAAATAATTCCCCGTTATGGAACTTAAAAGTACTTAAAATAGAAGCAACTCAATTTGCTTTGAGGATTGGAGTTTGGGAGTTTGTACCAAGTGTTGATTCGAGTTTTAATGCCTCGTCGCCATTAATAGTGGATTCTATCATGAATAAGTTTCTTTGATATAGACTTTCATATAATTTACTTACCGACTAAAAGGTAGGTTCTTTCAAGGGTTCTTCAATGTTATGGATTTTCACTAACCTTCAAATATATTGTTGCTGTTATCATAATTAAGTACTTACCCACTTACTATTGATTTCTATCAATTGTTGATGTTTAAAACTATTATCTAAATATTTCTCTTAGGAGTATCCCTGAATCACAGGCCAAACACCTTATTACGATATACTTTAACCAGCTTATCCATGGTTGTCGTAATGTAGATTGTCAAAATAGAAACTGTGCATCTTCAGCTAATTTTGTGCATTCGGGTATTACACCAAATCAAGCAGCTGCTCTAGCAATAGAATTAACAATCAACCGTGCTGATCTTTGTTTATCTACTGACGCAATCTTATCATCTTCTGGAATGAGCAACCCATCAACTTCAAGTTCTGTGGAACCTGAAGTTAATAGGGATGACAACGGTGGTGAGACGTCGAGCGAAATGAATGAAGTAATATATTCTTTGCCTAATTTCGCTTTCTTTAGGCGTCTAGTTACCTTTCTCAAGAGCTGCCAAGTCTTCAAACGACTTCTGTCCCTTCATCACAACAGCTTGCTGCTACTTCGGATGCCATAACATCAGGTCCTGATGAAGATTCGTTTCATTCTCTGATGACACCCGCTGAAGTTACTCGGTTAATCATGTTTCTGTTTGATGCTTCGGAAAATGACGAAATAAATTCTTCCCAGCTAAATGAACCAGCTTCTGGAGTTAATACAGAGGACTACGCGGCGGACAATGATAACTCTTTAACTTCCGCTTTCCTTAGTCGCAGTCACCTGTTTGGTATGTTTCTGGAATTTTCCAGGTTTTGGCCATCTATTTCTTATTCTATTATATCTCATTCTTGAGATTCGTACAATCTGGTAGTTAAGCGTCTCTTTTTGGAAGGTCATCATTTTTAGCCAATTTAATTCACAGTGTCTTGTATTTGTGTGTTACAGGAACATCTAGGCCATCTAGTTCGAGCTCTGATACTTTGAAAGCCCTCAAAGGACCAACAAACCAAAATAACCACACAACTCCATCATTGAACACATCTATCGAACGTGAATCTCGTAAAACTGGTTTGACATTAACCGAGTTACAGAAGGCTATTGAAATGGGAAAGAAAAATGGAGAGTGGTCCTGTCTTATAAGTTTATTAAATTCAGTTTTCAGTTCGTATGATGCATTATCAAGTAGTTTCTTACATGAATTATGTATGGCTAAATCTGGAAAGCAATCCAAAGGGGATAAAAAAACTACAGGTGTCTCAGACTCACTACTGTGTAGCACCAGTGCCAAAACGCTAAAAGATTACATTGAAGTTATTTCACCAACTGTAAATAATTCTGATGGCTCGGTTGGCAACATAACAGAATCTTTTTGGGTCGAAGGTATGACTAGTAGCTCAACAGATTTTCCTATTTATCAAAATGGTAAGTAACGTGTATTCATTATCGAATTCCCATTCACCTATATAAAGTAACTTTAAAATAAATAGTATACCTTTAGTGTTACCATATCTTGCAAATTTATAACTGCAAAAACTTTATTTTGTTTGTTATATTTTTATACAAACACCTGTGAGTTGACTCAAGTATATAAATGCAACTTAAACGATTGTTAGATCTTGAAAGTTATATGGTCCAAGTACATCTGTTGTGAAAGAGGATTTTCGGATTTATGCTCAAAAATTAGATTGTCGATGTCAGTCTATGATAATTGGAAGTATTCGAATTATTATAGTAACTAAGGATTCCCGAAACAGTACCATTTAAGCCAAATAGAACTAGGTGAGCACAAACGAACGTATTGTATTTAGAAATCGAAATCAACCAGGAAACAAGTACCAAACAATCATTAGTTGACACAAACACCACAAAGTCCCCCAAAAAGGATATCGAGAATAACACAACTGGTTAGCGGAATAGGTCTTTTTGAAATACATTTGTTTACAAAATACTGAACACAAAAACAATCGAAAGTTAATTGTAACATAGTCGACTGGAATTTACGGATTTTGTAGGTAAGTCACTGACGATCCGATGAAATAAAAATCCTACTCAGGTTTCACTTTTTCCTTTTGTATTGAAACTATCGTCCAATAATTTAAAGACTAGTCCTTCAGCTATTGAGTCACAGGTCCCAAACCTACTTTGAGCAAGGTTTGGGGAACTTCATTTCGATTTTTATAGTTGTTGAGTTCGTTTAGCTCAAAGTCTAGTATACAAACTTCTAACTGGTTACATGGTTGTTGAGTGGGATTCATTAATAACAAGAAATTTCGCTCTGCAAGCCATTGATCATACTTAGTTTGTAAAGCTGAGACGAAACTGGTTTTTATCACATACAGTCATTAATCTTCCTTAAGTTTATTAATCCCCTGATTATCATTATTCTGTTTTAGAATTATTTCTGAACTATAGTTTTACTGCTCAAGATGTTAACAGTTTCTTTAGCGACAGCTTCCGAATGTTAAACCTGTTCGGAGAATAATTTGTTAGACGTGTCTGTGTGTGACGGTAAATTAAGTGTTTATGACCTATATTTAACTTAGATCACTAAGGCAATGAGTAGAAATCTTCCTCAAGTTCTCCAGTCTCGGTAATAACTTATTTACCATTACTTACTTACTTACGCCTGTTACCCCTCGTCGAGGAGCATAGGCCGCTCACCAGCATTCTCCATCCAACTCTGTCCTGAGCCTTCCTTTCCAGTTCTTTCCAGTTACTATTCAGCCTTTTCATATCGGCTTCTATTTCCCGGCGCAGTGTGTTCTTTGGCCTTCCTCTTTTCCGCTTCCCTTCCGGATTCCAAGTTAGGGATTGAGTCGTGATGCACATTGGTGATTTCCTTAATGTATGTCCGATCCACTTCCAACGTCTTTTCCTAATTTCCTCTTCAGCTGGAAGCTGGTTTGTCCTCTCCCATAAAACGCTGTTGCTGATAGTATCCGGCCAGTGGATGTTGAGTATTTTGCGTAGACAACTGTTTATAAATACTTGTACCTTCCTGATGATGGCCGTAGTAGTTCTCCACGTTTCAGCTCCATACAGTAGGACTGTCTTGACGTTCGTATTGAAGATTCTGACCTTGAAATTAGTTGAGAGTTGTTTTGAGTTCCATATGTTCTTCAATTGTAGAAATGCTGCCCTTGCTTTGCCAATCCTTGCCTTTACATCTGCATCCGATCCTCCTTGTTTATCAACGATGCTCCCCAGGTACTTGAATGTTTCCACCTCTTCCAGAGTTTCGCCGTCAAGTGTGATTGGGTCGGTGTTCTCCGTGTTGCATTTGAGAATCTTGCTTTTTCCTTTGTGAATGTGGAGACCTATCGATGCGGAGGCTGCTGCTACATTTGCTGTCTTCATCTGCATTTGGTCGTGTGTATGAGAGAGGAGGGCTAGGTCATCTGCGAAGTCCAAATCATCTAATTGATTCTGAGAAGTCCATTGTATTCCGTATTTCCCGTCAGATTTCGAATTCTTCATAATCCAGTCAATCACTAGAAGGAAGAGGAATGGGGAGAGTAGACAGCCTTGTCTGACTCCGGTCCTTACTGGAAATGCACCTGTCAGCTGTCCTCCATGCACCACTTTGCACTGTAGTCCATCGTATGAGTTTTGGATAATGTTGACGATCTTCTGAGGAACTCCATAGTGTCGAAGAAGTCTCCATAATGTTCTCCTGTCCACGCTGTCAAACGCCTTCTCATAGTCAATAAAGTTGACGTATAGTGATGAGTTCCACTCAACTGATTGTTCAACGATGATCCGTAGTGTCGCAATCTGGTCTGTGCACGACCGATCCTTACGGAATCCAGCCTGATGATCCCTTAGTTCGGCGTCTACTGCGTCTTTCATCCGATTCAGCAGCACTCTGTTGAAAACTTTTCCTGGTACTGATAACAAACTGATGCCTCTGTAGTTCTCACATTGGCTCAGATCTCCTTTCTTTGGTATCTTGATGAGATATCCTTCTTTCCAGTCCGTTGGCACTTGTTCCTCTTCCCAAATCTTTTTGAATAGAAGGTGAAGCATGTTTGCAGTTATTTCAATGTCTGACTTCAGTGCTTCTGCTGGTATATTGTCAGGTCCTGCCGCCTTCCCACTTTTGATTTGTCTGATGGCCATCTTGACTTCTTCGATCGTTGGTGGAGTGGCATCTATTGGAAGGTCTGTGTGGGCTGCTTCGATGTTCGGTGGATTCAATGGGGCTGGTCTATTCAGCAGTTCCTCGAAGTATTCTGCCCATCTTTTCTTCTGTTCTTGAATCTCAGTGATTGTCTTTCCTTCTTTGTCCTTGACTAGTCTCTCTAGTTTGCTATATCTCCCTGCCAATTTCTTCGTTGTATCATATAGTTGTTTCATATTCCCTTCTCTTGCAGCTTTTTCCGCCGCCGTTGCTAGTTCTCCCATGTATTTCTGCTTGTCGGCTTTAATGCTTTTCTTCACTTGCTTGTTTGCTTCTGCGTAGTTTGCTTGTGCTTTGATTTTCTCTGCTCGTGTTCGGCTGTTGTTAATTGCTAGTTTCTTGTTCTTCCTTTCTTGAATTTTGTCCAGGGTTCCCAGAGAGATCCATTCCTTGTGATGATGCTTCTTAGGACCAAGAACCTGCTGACACGTTGAAGTTAGTGCTTCTTTTATCCCTTTCCAGTTGTCCTCCATCATAGTTTCTTGTTCTTTCAGTAGATCCTGTAGAGCTTGGAACTTGTTGTTGAGAGTTATCTTGAATTCATGGAGCTTGTCAGCATCTCAAAGGAAGGCTGTATTAAAACTTTGTAGTGCTGTTTGTCCAGTTGTCCAGTCTTTCTTAAGCTTCAGTCTCATCTTGGCCACAACCAGGTGGTGATCTGAAGCTATGTCAGCTCCTCTCCGGGTTCTTACATCTTCCATTGATCTTCGGAATTTTTTGTTGATACAGATGTGATCTATCTGGTTCTCTGTGGTATGGTCCGGTGAGATCCATGTAGCTTTGTGTATGCGTTTGTGTGGGAATATTGTGCCGCCTATAACCAATTTGTTGAAAGCACATAGGTTTGCAAGTCTCTCCCCATTTTCATTTCTTTCTCCTAGTCCATGTCGTCCGATTATATCTTCATATCCTGTGTTGTCCACTCCAACTTTAGCATTTAGATCTCCCATCAGGATGGTGAGGTCCTTTCGTGAGCACTTTGCTACAATTGATTGCAGCCTTTCATAGAACTGATGTTTATCATCGTCGTTGCTATCATTGGTGGGTGCATAACATTGGATAACGTTCATTGTGATCCCTTGCTTCTTTGTTCTGAATGATGCTTTGATTATCCTGGGTCCATGAGATTCCCATCCCACAAGTGCATTTTGTGCTTCTTTGGACAGCATTAGAGCAACTCCCTGAGTGTGTGGAGCATTTTCCCCTTCGTGACCGGAGTGCAGCAGCATCTCTCCTGTACCTAGCCTTTGTTGTCCAGTTTGTGTCCAATGGGTTTCGCTGATTCCGAGTACTGCCAATTTGTATCTCCTCATTTCCATTGCTATTTGGCTGGTTTTTCCTGTCTCCCACATTGTCCGGACGTTCCATGTACCTATAAAGAGTGTTGCTCTGGTTGTTAGAAGGTGCATCGGTCTCGTGACTTCCGGAGAATTTCGGCTTTCATCATGAGACGTCATAATTATTCCTTCAACTCCCAGGGCAGAGTTTAAATGGTTTGAATTATTTTTTCTGGTTAGCGTTTTTTTAGCGAGTTAGCTTTTCTACGGGATGGGGTCGCTAACCCCATGCCCAACCCTCCTCCTTTGTGTGGGCTTGGGACCGGCAGTAACTCTAGAAGAGCTACAGGCGGAGTTTTATTTACCATGGCTCAACTTAATTCCGAAAAATATCTTCATTCACATTTCAGTTTTGTTTATAGTTGGTATAAGGTAGATAAATAAGTTTTAAGGCACATTAGACAGTCTTAGTTTATTCTTATTCGTAGAGATTTCTATGTTGTGAATCCTTCTTTCGCGGAAATCCTTATAATTTTTGCTCCAGCATTATGAAACTTATTGGTTACTATTTGCAGCTAGGATAGAGATATGTGCGTGTTACCTACTATGAGCTGTTCAACCTCATTTGAGGCATATTCTACGAACTCGGTACGACAATCGAGTCTGTAAAAAACTCGAAAATGTTTTAGGATAGACTCTACTACTAGTTTCATATAAAATACAGGCTGATATCACTTTGCTTTGATCTTATAAAATACTTGTGAACTCTTTCATTATTAGCTGGCTGGCTTTCTTTTGAGTCATCCAGTCACCGGATTATAATCAATCTTCAAAAAAGTCAAATTATTTCTCCTTCGCCATTCTACAAACTGTGTACTTATTTTTCGGGTTAGAAGTGACTATATTGATTTCAGTGTATTAATTGTCAATAAAAACCCAAAATTCTAGACTTTTTCCTAATGTCTACATGGTTTTCGCGTTTTCCTGTGGTTGGCCTCAATTGGTGTAGTTGTTCTGACCTCTAAAAGGGTACTTATGGAGTTTAACTGGACTGTAATTCTGTCCCATATTTCACATAATGTAGTTTACCAGGTGAATAAATAGTGTTGGTAACTTGATAGTCGTTTTGTACTGTTAATTAACTTTGAAATTCATTCTTAGTCGCGAACGACTCTCATTACGTCTTTTAAATGTTCCACATCTCCCAACTATGTAAGTGAAAAGTACTTGAAATAACAGTGATTTAAATCACTTCTGTATTGCACATTTTGGTAGGTATACTTCTAATATGTTAAGTTACTTATGGGAACGTACTCCTGATGATCAATTGGATTATGAAGACGTCAACATCTGGGGGGGGGGAAAGCACGGGATACATTGGACAGCTAGGATGAGGCTGGACGATCTAGACTTCGCAGATGATCTGGCACTGCTATCGCACACGCAACAACAAATGCAGGAGATGACCAGTGTAACAACAGCCTCAGCAGCATTAGGTCTTAACATACACAAAGAGAAAAGCAAGATTCTCCGATACTACACAACAAGCACCAATCGAAACACACTTGACGGAGAAGCTTTGGAGGATGTAAAAACCTTCACATATCTGGGCAGCATCATTGATGAACATGGAGGATCTGATGCAGATGTGAAGGCACGGATCGACAAAGCAAGAGCAGCATATCTACAACTGAACAACATCTGGAACTCAAAACAATCGTCAACTAACACCAAAGTCAGAATTTTTAATACAAATGTCAAGACAGTTCTACTGTATGGGGCGGAGACGTGGAGAACTACGAAAGCCGTCATCCAGAAGATACAGGTGTTTATTAACAGTTGTCTACGCAAGATACTTCGGATCCGTTGGCCAGATACTATCAGCAACAACCTACTTTGGGAGAGAACAAACCAGATTCCATCCAGCGGAGGAAGAAATCAGGAAGAAGAACTGGAAGTGGATAGGACACACATTGAGGAAATCAGCCAACTGCGTCACAAGGCAAGCCCTCACTTGGAATCCTTAAGGCCAAAGGAAAAGAGGGAGACCAAAATATTTTGGGCTTATAAAAGGATTTACGTGAGGTGTATTTGTAAGTTGCTTATTAGAAGCATTAGTCAAACTAATAATAGTAGATTACCCGTCCGAAATAATTAGATAGTCCTTGGTATACAATGTTATGGAATCGACTTTGGCTTAGCAGACAATTGTGTTAGTGGCTTTTGTATAACACTAGTCGCAAGGACCCTTGTAGTCCAAATCAAATGGTTTTACTTATCTTCATTGTTTTGGCTATGCACCTTGTCACCAGCTGTTCATGAAATGTTTATACCCATATTCAGCATACTGAAACCTAAATGAATTAGTGAAATATGCTGGTGGTCATATGATATTAACAGGCTTAACGTTTTTATAGATAGGGTTACTATCTTACTCGGGTATGTTCCAATTACGTTTTCTAGAAGTAAGTGCTCATCCTTCAATTTAGCTGTGTATTAGGGTATGCCTTTTCATAGGTCGTTAATATACAATCTGTTCGTCATTTTATACCATACATATGTACAATATTTCTTGATGAGCAGATAACTTGGTCCTCACTCATAAAACGTTAAGGTTGAATTTTCATTCAATCAAATTCAGAGTTCATTAGTTGGTTTACATCCATCAGCTTAAGTTGTTCGACCTAAAAAAAATCAGTAAGGATTTTCAAAACTTAAAATTAAGAACTGAAGAAATAACCAAGTCCATATTCATTGTAATATAGATTATTTAGTGCTGAATATCCGAAAAACCTCAAATCACTAAACCTGGAAAGGTGTGTTTGTGATTGGAGGTGCATATTATGTCAGCGAATGAAAATAAATTGAAACCTATATAAATTATATTTTTTGAATTAAATTCAAATAAATATAATACTGAATTCTTATGTTTTATTTACTTAATTATTTTGTAATATTCAAAATAACAGTTATGAAGGTTATGGAAATATTTATTCATCAAGTAATTTCTACTAAATTTTACCATCACATAATTATAAATGTTTATTTTCAGATGTAGAAATGGTTGATCAACAAGTGAACTCTATTGAAATTATTGAAAAATCAGAAAACAATGTTTATTGGCCATCTGTTAATCTTAATGATTTACGTAAAGCTTGGTCTATGATTGTATCTATACCTGAACGTCAAAATATTGTAGATACACTAATGAGAGCTGTTCGTCGTTTGGTTGTGATAAGTTTACATCAACTTTTAGTTATTCAACCACCTGATGGATTAGACGATAATCAACCACCTACTGAAATAGCTATTATTCAACAACGATTAGTGAATCTTTTTATTATTCTTTATGAATGTCCATTTGCAACAGATCCTTTACATTTTGAGGTTGGTAAACTATTCTATAAAGTTGTTATAATATAGTTTCTTTTTTCGACTTCGTGCATCATAAGGTATATTTTGTTTTTAGACATTATTCTTTTTCTAAAGTCTCTTTTTATTGTCATAAAATCAGAAATTTTGCAAACGATGTCACCATAGGAGAAAACTTTGTTTATACTGAAATCGATATTTATTAGGAAAATCCACAGACATATTGGTATTCACATATAAAGCATTGGAAAAAAGTTATCTGCGATAGTAAATATTTATGGGTAGAATTTACGTATGGTATGCAACAGGACATGAAAGACTTTATATATATCATTTTATGCCTAAGGTCATCTTTAAAGTTCATCATATTTTCAAATCTGTTATCTAACAGTCTATCACTGATTTGTTGTTTCTGTAAATCATAGTTTTATTACCTTGGACAACCGAAATGGGGATACTTTTTAGTAGGGCTGTTATTATTAATAGTAATGCAACTCAACGACTGTATGTGTTCGTATGTGCAGCAGACATGATGGAGTCATGTATATTGTATCATGACAAATGTTTTCATTTAGCTTTCCACATCTTGATAGATGGAATACTGTTCGAACCTTGTAACCGACCAAGTTGTTAAGTATTCAGTGTCCCACTGAGTAACACCAGAAATGGGAACTGTTTACAGTCAAATTTACTGTTCCAACTAAACTATCATAATATTCAATGTAAATTCTCCACTTTGTTTTCCATTCATAATTTAAATAAGAATTTGAAGCTGGTCTTTCCAGGAAATCACATGCCTTTAATAATTGTCTTTGCTTATTAGTTTCAAACACTTTTTTAAATACAGGTTTATAGTTTTCAGTTTATTTGTCCATCGTATTTATTTCATCTCCGTAACACTTTTACTCTGCTGCACTTTCATTAATCCGGTTCGTTTTGTATGTTTTTATCCATCATCATTTTCATTATCGTTCAAGGGTTAACAATAAAAGTTTTATAATTAAATCATTCATCTGAAAAACATATAACGGCACTAACAGTATCATTGCTGTCGTGTTTAATAGGAACGAACAAACACCATAAACAGATAACAACAAAAGATCATTTATCATTAGTTGCATGTGGCTAGACATCGTCTTCAAGCTCTGGAATACTACAACACAGTTTTCTTAATATATCACACTCTGTCAATCAGGAATTTCAATCACCGTTCAGTATTGGTTTTCGAAACGAATCAGTCAAATAACCTAACTTATTATTATTATTATTGAGCTTTCCTGCTTTTTAGTTTATTCAATTCCATTATAAACCTCTGAAGATTTTAGGTTTTCGCACTTATATTCAAAAGTGTAAATGCAAACTAACCAACCAGTGTTAAAGCTGCAAAGTATTTTTTTAAAATAAAAAGATCATTATTGTTTTTGTTATAAAATGATATATTTTTCTCTCATACACCTTTCGAATAATGTCAATTAAACAAAACTGACAGAAGCATGCTATTAAACAATATTGTTCATTATAAGTAAAAGAAGATTTTTGAATATTGGCCCGTTTGTAGTTTATATTATAAACTGATTTCAACTGTACAAACACTGAAAAAATGAGAGAACACTGGACAAATATTCATAACAGTACGAGATACCTTGACGAGGCCTATCTAGAGCCTAATCTGAAGCTTCGTAGTGAACGCTTCAAGTTGTTAAAAATCAACGACGATTTTGCAGAAAGTCTTATTGGATTATGATTAGATGAAATCCCTCTTGCTCTTTTAGAGTCTCTGGAGGCTGCATCGCGCCTTCTAGCAGCCGACCCAATAATGACTAAAGTTTAAAAGTAAAAAAACTATTTTCTGATAAAGTGTTTTGAGGTAAATATTTTAGTCAGTCATCATAAGATAGGACAATCATAATTATCGTTTCATTTTGCTGATTGTTGTTCAACTTCATTAATTACGTTTTATATGCTGAATATAGTTTAGTGAACTGTGGAGTAAACTCCATCTTAGCTGTGCAAAATTCGTTGGTCTATTATTTTCTGATTCCCGAGTCTACTAGCAGAAATTATGAAAGAGCAGGATGTCTGAGGGTTCTAAAATAGTGGTATGCACTCATAAATGTTTTTGCCTTTGAATGAAAATAATGAACAGTGTGCTAAAAAATGTCAACGAAGTCTATTGGATGAAATGGAATTAGGAACAGTTAGAGTTTATGAAGTATATAAGCGCGGAAAATCTCTAGAATTCAATTTTTCTGAAGTAAATTGTTTGTATATAAGGGGCAAATGATAAAAGTGATATTTCTGGTTGGAATGACATTATACTTTCTGCGTTTCTGTTAACATTTCAGACTTTTAACAACTAACCAATTAAATCTCTTTTCTTTCCTTGAGATTGAAAGAAAATAAGGTTACGTGGTTTTTCTGTTGAATGATGTTTATACTATCATAAAGTCTTTCATGTCCTGTTGCATACCATACGTAAATTCTACCCATAAATATTTACTATCGCAGATAACTTTTTTCCAATGCTTTATATGTGAATACCAATATGTCTGTGGATTTTCCTAATAGATATCGATTTCAGTATAAACAAAGTTTTCTCCTATGGTGACATCGTTTTTCGTACATTTATCTTAAAATAATTTTGTCTACCACTGATTTCTTTATTTATCTTGTCGCATTTTATTTCTCTACTTTTTTAGTCAAACATTTTCCTTCCTGTGGTACTCCAGTTCTTGTTATCTTTGATGTAATATGAAATTTAAAGGTTGTATTAATTTTATTATAGTTGGCTACTGGCTGTCTTCTATGTGCATAGCTTAATAATAAGTCAATTTGCTGCATACTGTAAAGAGCATCTTATGATATATTTGAACATACATTCATCAATTGTTCGCTAAATACAGCATACTTTTTATTTATTTATTTATGATAATTGTCAGAAGGGGTTTTGTGGAGATTTTAGTAAGTTATAGAGTTGAGATCATGTGTCAATTGAAGCTAGACCACCATCGAAAACCTGGAAACACTGGACGGCCGTTTCGTCCTATTATGGGACTCCTCAGCAGTGCGCATCCACGAACCCACTCTCGCGGGATTCGAACCCAGGACCTACCAGTTTCGAGCCGAAGCCCTTAACCGATAGGCTCGAAACTGGTAGATCCTGGGTTCGAATCCCGCGAGAGTGGGTTCGTGGATGCGCACTGCTGAGGAGTCCCATAATAGGACGAAACGGCCGTCCAGTGCTTCCAGGTTTTCGATGGTGGTCTAGCTTCAATTGACTCATGATCTCAACTCTATGATTTATGATAACTTTATACATTAATCTATCGCCTTTATTAGATCTTGCTAACGCAAAGTCACAACAGCACCAGACGATTTAAACAGTCAGTTAGACTCCTAAGCATTACACTCTTTTTAGTTAAACTAAACTGATAAGGTTTCGAGTTGGGGAACATATGATCTCAACCTGCAATAGTTACCAATCAAATTTCGTATGGTCTGACTTATTTTAATTAAACTAACGACGAATCCATATCTCAGCGAGTGAAGTAACTGTGCCATGTTGATCTGATAACAGATTGTTTTTGACAATAATATTAGTCTTTTGAAATTACTTATGTCCAATTGTACGGCTTTTTTTCAATTTTTATGTCACTTGTGTTTTGTTTTGTTTTTTTCCTCGTCTTTGACTTGTTCATTTGTGTTTCTATCATCTTCAATTATAGCTTTTATTGTTAAATATTAATCGTGCCGTAACTTGGCTTCCAAACACAATACAAGTTATGTTATGTCGAGCATGGGCTAATTCTGTACACACACCATTAGCCAATTGTACAGAATCACCAAATCCAGAACAAACTAATTTATGGTGTCTACAAAAAATTCTATTACATCATATTACTTTACGTTGTTTAACTACAGATCATGGTTTACCAAATGAAGATAAACAGATTTGTGAAGCTGCACTTGTATTACGTATTGTTTACTACGCTAGTCTATTGGCTGGTCAAATGGATTCACCTGAATTATTAGAAATGGAAGCTGAAGAAAATAGATTATTTGAACAACAAATGCTTACTCATATTGGACCTGTAAGTTGTTCAACAGTTATCGTTACTGTTGTTAAATATACTATTAGGTTATATATATTTCTAATGTTAAGAAAATGTGTTGTCTTATTTTAGAATATGTACATACTCTGATTATTATATTGGCTGACGAGTGCAACTGTAAAGTTATTGTTCGAGTAGTATTTTTGTAAATGTTATCAACTCAACTAGAATGTAGCCGTTCGGAAAACATATTTCTTCTATTTTTTCGCTTCATTTAAACGGTAACACCTCGGTGAGTGAAGAAGTGCTAATTCACAGTGCAAGTGCAAATTACAGTATAGTTATAAATGTGATAAATACCATCCTGCATAATACATAAATTGTATAACGGGGATGGTGTAAAACTTGGCTCAGTAAATTTTTTTTGCAGATCCATACTTTAAAACAGTTGGCAAAGTTAGTATAAGAATTATGGTGTAGTAGTAAGCTATCATTCGTTTGTAGGAAAAGAATATACTGAAAGTGCTAATCCAGAAAATAACTGAAATCCATTCAGAACATGACCAACAGTTGCATTAAAATCACGGTCTAATCTATTTAAAGTTATACATACAATACAAGACATGATTGTTCATCCAGATTCACCACACTCTTGGTCGATTTATCTTCCTAAATACAATGTTTACATCTAGACTTGATATTGCTCACTAGGTATTACCACCACATATAATCAATGCCTTAGAAGTACAGATGATATGGTATGTATAGCCTTCTTACTTGATCCACTTTCGAAACCTTTGTTTGTCGACACTTACGCTTGTTACCTTTCGTGGAAGAGCATAGGCCGCCCATCAGCATTCTCCATCTAACTCTGACCTGGGCAACCAGTCAGTCAGAACGCAGAATTTCGTAAGTACGTACATCAGTTCGAGTTGCCGTACCACATTAGCCTAGAGATGCAGTTGTCGACTCAAATCCCATATTGGTGCAGGTAGTAAGAGTATAATCAGTAGTTGAAAAGATTAGGGTTTGAAGATGTTATTGAAGGAGTATAATCCAATGAAGTAAATTTGGAAAGAGAAAAAAAGAGAGATATGAAGAATTCGGAAGATAAGAATTTGGCAGAACACAAAGAGTGGATGCACCTTCGCCATTGCAAACGATTTTGAGCCATGTCATTCAAGGTCTCTAACCATCGGTTGCTATCGTCTCGCGGATCCCAACCAGGTAGTCTATACCTACCAACATGGCTCAGTCTACTTGTCAGTGACTTCATGGATTTGTACCAGGTTTCGGTCTGGCCGCTCCTAGCTTTCTTCCAACCTACTCCTACACCACAAAACATAGGACGTCGGGGCAGTTGGTGGTTGGGCATACGTAGTACGTGTCCCACCGATTTTGAATAATGAAGCAGTCTTTCTGAAACCACGTACGCCGTTCAAGCTGGCTTCCTTCAACGTTCGCACACTAATGCAGATCAGACAACAGATAGGGCTGGCTATGTCTTTGGAAGGTCTTAATGTTGACGTTTGTTGTCTATCCGAGACCCGCATTCAAGACTCTAGTGAAGTACTACAAATCCGCTCTCCATCTGTCGCCTCGAAAAGCTTGTTTCACGTGCGCTTATCCGGGGACCTTGTGACATCTTCGTCTGGTCTTGCTGGCGTTGGTGTCGCACTAAGCGCTAGAGCTGAGGCAGCATTAATCGATTGGATCCCCATTAACAGTCGGTTATGTGCTGTTAGATTAGAAAGTTCCATCAAAGTGAGAAGAAATCGGCGTGAGAATCGGTGTCTTTTCGTCATCTTTGCCTATGCCCCGATAGATTGCAGCCCATCAGTTAACAGTTCTTCTCCAGAAAGCGCGTTCGACAGATATTGTAGTACTAGCCGGAGACTCGAATGCACAGGTCGGGCGTCTAGGCACAGAAGAGAGTCGTTTAGGTGGCCGATGGGGACTTGTTGGTCGCAGGACAGATAACGGGGACAGTTTGCTTCAACTATGCACAGACCACAATCTGTTTCTGGCCAGCACTAACTTCCGGCACAGTCATCGCCGGTGTGCTACCTGGCGTCCTCCCTCTGCATCCAAAGCCTAGACTCAGATTGATCACATCGCGATCAGCTACCACTGGCGTGGTTGTGTACAAGACTGCCGCTCCTTTTGGAGTACCTATCTGGAGTCTGATCATGCCCTGGTCTGCGCCAATCTCACCTTACTTTTCAGTGGCCGAAGGATTGACCACCACCAACGGATCGATGTTAGTAAACTGGCTGCAACTTCTGTTGCAAGTAAGTATCGAGCGGAGCTAGCCTCTAGGCTAGCTACCACCCCACCGAAAAGTATAGATGAGCATTGGTTGCTTCTTCACGACGCCATGAAAATGACGAGTAAAGCCGCTTGCGGCTTCGCGAAACGTCCCGCTTACAAGCACTGGGTTTCTTCTGGCTCCTTACAACTGATGGAAGCCCGTCGGTCTACTCCGGGTGACCGTGAGTTTGACCACAAACGAAGGCTGTTACGTAATGAAATCGGGCAAAGCTTGCGTAAGGACCGAGAAGCCTGGTGGTCGGAGCGTGCTAATGAGATGGAAGCAGCAGCTGCATCTGGTAACTGCCGGAAGCTCTTCCAACTCATCCGAGCCACTGACAGCAAGAAATCTGGTGTGAGTGAAACAATCTACGAGGATGACGGGATGCCAATCACTAACATCTCTCGACGTATTGGACGATGGGCTGAATTTTTCGAAGGGCAGTTCAACTGGCCTGCTGCTCCGGCAACATCGACCAGTTTGTCCTGCCCTCCATGGCCGGTGACGACTGATCCACCAAACGAGGCGGAAGTCCGCAAGGAACTCCAACTCTTGAAACGTTACAAATCACCTGGCTCAGATGACTAACCTCCGGCTCTTTTTAAAGATGGTGGTGACTTTCTGGCTAAGGAACTGACTATGTTGTTTGCAAAGGTTTGGGAGGACGAAAGTGTTTCAACATCATGGAATGAGTCGATAGTCGTCCCTGTCTTTAAAAAGGGTTCACGTTGTTCCTGCAATAACTACCGGGGGATAAGTCTACTTCCGATTGCGTCCAAACTATTGGCTTCTATCATTCTTCGTAGGTTGTTTAAAACCCGAGCACGATTGACTCGCGAGGAGCAGGCTGGTTTTCGTCCTGGTCGAGGATGCATTGGTCACATCTTCACCCTCCGCCAAATGTTAGAACACCTTCATACTTATCGCAGGCCAACAATCGTAGTGTTTCTTGATATCAGGGCGGCCTTCGATTCGTTGGACAGGACTGTTCTCTGGGATTGTCTATTGAAGAAGGGTGTACCTGAGAAGTTCATTGACATCTTAAAGGCCCTGTATACGAACACCTCAGGCAGAGTGAGGGCATACAACCACCTTTCTCCCTTGTTCCATTCGAGCAGCGGGGTTAGGCAGGGTTGTCCAATCTCACCATTCCTCTTTAACTTTGCCATCGACGACATCCTGGAAACATCTCTGATGTATGTAAGTAATGGCGGTGTGGATATGTTGCCTGGAGAACGACTTCTCGATCTCGAGTATGCGGATGATATTGTCTTACTGTGCGATAATGCCCAAGGCATGCAATCAGCACTTAACCAGTTGGCAATCAGTGACCGCAGGTACGGCATGTGCTTTGCACCCTCCAAGTGCAAAGTACTCCTACAAGACTGGCAGGATTCTAATCCTGTACTCACCCTGGATGGTGAGCAGATTGAAGTAATTGAGAAGTTCGTGTATCTAGGTAGCTACATAAGTGCTGGTGGTGGCGTGAGTGATGAGATTGATGCACGTATAATGAAAGCCAGAGCGGCTTATGCCAATCTGGGCCATCTTTGGCGCCTTCGTGATGTTAGTCTGGCTGTAAAAGGTCGGATCTACAAAGCGTCGGTGAGAGCAGTTTTGCTCTATGCTTGTGAAACCTGGCCTCTCCGAGTTGAGGATGTTAGACGTCTCTCTGTGTTCGATCATCGTTGTCTCCGAAGGATTGCTGACATCCAGTGGCAACACCATGTTAGTAATGCAGAGGTTCGACATCGTGTGTTCGGGCGCAGAGACGATAATTCAATTGGTGTCACCATCTTGAAACATCGACTTCGGTGGCTTGGACATGTCTTACGAATGTCGTCCCAGAGACTTCCACGTCGTGCATTATTTGCCGACTCTGGGACTGGTTGGAAAAAGCGGAGTGGAGGTCAGTGTATGACATGGTGTCGTGGCATGAAAGAGAGCTGCAAAGGGCTAGCTTCTGTTGGTCCTTCACGACTCCCTGGCTGGGGTCTGAGAGATGGTGCAAGACAGTGGCTAGAGACGTTATCAGATATGGCTCAGAATAGAAGCCAGTGGCGATCCTGCTGAAACCTTCTACTTTCTTCATAAAGAGTGGCTATAACTTTCCTAACTGAGAGAGCTCTTCTGGTTGTACATTCAGTTCCCCCATCATTACTCTTCTCCTTTTCTTTTTTTCCCTTCTTTTATATATACGTATCTTCTTCCTACTCCCATTCTCATTATTTTGTATGGCGCATATGTATCCGGTGCCCTTTGTACCAATATATATGTGATTAAATAAATAAATAAATAATAAAATAAGTACGTGTCCCAGTCATCTCAACTGATGAAGTTTCCCTACTTCGTCAATCGATTTGCCATCCTTACCTAGTACCTGTTTCCTAACAACTGCATTACTTACTCAGTGGTCCCAGGATATACGAGCAATGCTTCGAAGACACCTCTAATGGAAAACTAGTAGTCTATGAATTCCTAAAAGTACGTTTACGATTTAGCTAAACAAGAATGGAGAGAGTGGACATCTCTGGCGAACACCTCTTGTGGTAATCAATTCTGACGACAGTTCGCCATAAGCTCTAACTCGACTAGTTGTGTTCAAATGCCACCTTAAGGTCGAGAAGTACTACGATTGTGGGGCGTCTGAATGTATGTCTATGTTCTAGGACCTGACTTAGAGTGAATATCTGGTCTACACAACCACGTCCAGGTCGAAAAACAACCCGGTTTACTCTAATCTGCTCTTCACGAGCTTTGGTTAGGCGTCGAAGTATTATTGAAGCTAATATTTAGACACTATATTAGTCAAACTGATCCCTCTGTGATTGTCGCAAGAGGAATTTTATCCTTTCTTATAGACTGGTACAATCAGTGATTGGGACCAGTCAGATGGAATTACGTCCAGTTCCCAGATTCTACCTAAGACTTCAGTCTAGCTAACAATTAGATTTTTAAAAAATTCAAAAATTCGAGAATAACCTTTTCCTAATACACTTTTTTACCATCTTGGTAAACGTTTGGAGTAATCGGCGATTATTGAGGTAGGAGGTGAGCACTCAATCTACAAACAATCGGAGCGTAGTATATGCTAATGATGTATAACTACAATCTAGCTGTAGTTTACGGAATGCATACAGTCGACAAAATAGATTGTTCTTTTACTGGAGAGCTTTTAATATTTCTCTTAAGTGCACAATTTTGTTACAACTCGTTCCTACATATAGTCTATAAATCCATTTAAAAAAAATACCTTAACCTTTAACACATTGAAAGGGCGAGAAGTTATTTAGAAGAGAAAGTTAAGATTATTCCAGAAATATAGATTGTAATTTTAGAATAAGAAAATAAAAATTTCTAAGTAATCAAACACTGTTAATTGTGACATGTGAAATCTAGTCCATAGATCAAAACGAAAATTGCCTTGTGGCAACTTTTTAAATGGTTCAATCTGACTGTTATTTGTAAAACACAAAATTAAGTGAATGGAAAGAAATAAACCTTTATTGCTAAATCTTTAACACAATGTTCGCTTGATTTTTGAATTTATTCCTTCAAACTTGTTTTTTCAATGTCAATTTTATTCGAAGTGACTTGTATTTTCTCAGAACATTGATCGATGCTCAATAGTCATAGAGAAAAAATATTTTTCTCTAGTTGTACTTTTCTTATTTGGTGTATCTTTCACTTTTTTTTGAATAAACTGATATGTATTATTGGTTGATCACTATGCCATGCTTGTCCAGTCTTTTAGGTGCTGATCGAATTCTACAAGTCAAGTTGCTGTTTGACCACTGATCTAAGTGTCTCTCCATCACGTACACTGTGTCGAAGTGTTGGACTGTTGGAAGTAGTCAACATGAAGCCCTGGGCTTTGTGTTAGTTGTTCCTCATCAACGTTCTCACACCTTTGGCCTCCTAAAGGACTAGACAAGCATGACATTAGTCAGTAATCAATAATATCTCAGCTGTAAATATCTGAGTAATACAGGTCATTCGTGACACAAATAGCTCAGTGGTAGCATCTCAGGTTGTGAAGCTGAGTGATGAGAATTCAAATTCTACATGAAACACCAGTTCTCTCAATACTACAGGAACCCCCTTGCTGACGAGTGCTAACTAGCATTAAATCTGGGTTCAGGCTTTCCTGTCGACGACTTTCAACCATCTAATACCGAAGTAACGTTTTATTATTCATTGACTAATCGTATATGTTTATTCATCCTAATATCTTGTTTACGTCCTAATTTCTCATACTGTGGTTTTTGTTTGCCTCATAACTCATCGATATTACTTAATGTCTTATTTCTAGACTTACGAAAGACGTTCTCGTGTCAGTTTACCTGAAGATCCATTTGCTAAAGCACTGAATATTTCTCCTAATGATTGTCGTAAACCATTTATTCCAGTTAAAGATTTTGTAAATGAAACACTGAATGATGGCCTACAGGTTTGTTTTAGTAGATATTTTTTTACTAACATTATCGAGTATATACATATATAATTTTGATCTATTATTGATGTAATATTGTTTGTTAATGTCTATTCAGAGCCTATGGGGGACTGTCAACGTCAAATAGTATTTGTCAGGTTCTCCCATTGACCCCCTTTTTACTTAATTTCGTCATGGCTCTCCTTTTAGAAACGATTCACTAACTTTTTAGGACGTTTGCCTATCGACTGAGTATTTTCAGATAAAATAGTCCGTTTTTCTGAAGAAGACACTGAAGATCCTGAGTCTTCTGATTGCAAGCATGATTGAAATGCGTTTCTCTGCCTCTAAATCCAAAACGTCGCCTCATAACTAGTTTCCTTCAACACCTGAACTAGTGATGGGAAGTAAAGTAGTTGAGTGTTTTGACAATGTCACTTATCTTGGAAGTTTGTTCGTCCCTAGTGAGGACGTTCGCAACAAGATCTCGGCAAGGATTTGAAAAGCCCAGTCGGGGTTCGCGAAATTACATTATTTGTGGCGTAAGCGAGATGTCCATCCGCCAACCAAAGGGCACGTATACTGGTCAGAACTCCTATTTGTATTCTTTTATGGCTGTGAAACCTGGTCTATGAAAGTTAAAGGTATATCTAGCCAAAAAGATTTTGGTCGTAAGTGTCTTCGAAGCATTTCTTGCTTTTCCTGAAACTACCAGATGAGCTATGTCTGGTCAAAGAATAGGGTACCTGATAATGGTGAGAAATCCGTTTTTGATGTAATGAATCTTCATCGGTTCAGGTAGTTGGAATATGAGTTACGTATACGTAATCATCGCCCACATCAACTGACGATTTTTACTGGTGTAGGAGTAGATTGGAAGAAGCCAGTCAGTGAAGGCATTGACTATTGATCTAAATATGTTGGTAGGTACTGATTGCTGCGACCAATGGTTGGAGACTTTGGGTGACATAGCTTAGAATTGTTCACAGTGGTCTCCATACATTCACTCTTTATTTTCCTCTCAATTTTGAACTCCAGTACTCCTTTATACGTACCTACCCACCCTTTTTTCGAATCATATTCTCAATGTTTAGACTCTCTTTTTATCATTGCTGCTATATTATCCCTATCTTTTACTATTTTCATCTCGTGCTAATTAGGTGTGGCAACTTGGCCCAACGCATATATGCACCAAGCTTCATGTAAATATGATATCTCTGCTTGTCAACGTATTCAGTTGATTCAAAAAGCTAATGCATTATTTGTTCTTTCCGTATGATCTACCCAATTAAAAAGAGTCACAAGTCAATCCTAAATTAATCGGAACTTTGAAGAAAGGTATTGATCTAATGAAATCGGCAAATTTTAGAGCAACGAACTGAGATGAAAATAACAAGACAAAAAGCAAAGAGTGCAAAACGGTAATGTCAATGGTAATGAAAACTAAACATATACAAGATGTAATTGAAAATGAATAAGTGAGATCGGTGAAGTTAAAGGGTATGGAATAGTTCCAGAACTCAAAAGATTCCGGCAAAGACAAAGAATACACATCTAGTTAACTATGATCAATTTAAAGCTATATCAATCATGTTTTGAAGCCATAGATTGGATTCAACGTGACATCTATATCCAACAAAGCCATAGATTGGATTCAACGTGATATCTATATCCAAAAAAGCTTCACGTTTCAATTTTCTTCAGTTCAACAAATAATGTCTTAACATATTCTTGTTCTTGCCGTTTTATTATGTTGAGATATGCATGTATGTAACATTATGTCTGAATTATAAGAGTTGATAAGAAAGGGTTTATGAGTTCATTAACTTATATACAAACTTTAATGCATTAAATCTCAAAATTTTTCACTGATCAATTTCATCATGTTCAACCAGTCACTCGACGATCCATACCAACATGGTCAATAGAATAGTATCCATAAAGTACATAATTTGTGTAGCCACAATGACTTTAACTATCTGCATTTATATGTGATAAAGTTGTGGTTTGAAAAATTGTCTGACTATAACCTAGCTTCATATCATATATTAATAGTTGCTAATTGTGATTACTAATTAATTTTATCGTCCTGTTTTTTCTCTTTTAATTAGCCAAAAAAAGATTATATTTATTATCGTTCAAAAGGTATATCAAATGAGTTAAGCTTTATGAAATTACCGTTTCTGTTACAAACTAGTTCAAAATCTGTTCTCTTGTATTATGATAACCGTATGCGTATGTTAGATGAACGTCGCGGTGTTCTGATGCATACTTTTCTTATGGATACACCTGAAATGCCTTTCTTTAAACTGCGTGTTCATCGGGATAGAATTGTTGAAGATGCTTTGTTAATTGTAAGTCATAATTCGTTCTTGTTATGTCATTATTAAGTACCATCAATTACATACAAGTCGTGTTGGTATATTGATATGTTTATACATTTCACCGTTCACTGTAAGTACTTTTTTATATAGTTACCTTTAACAATTGAGAAGCTTATACAAATTTTAATACCTCCCGATTCATTTCTTATTATAAATTAAATGCAGTTAATCAATCCATTATATTGAACAAATAGTAAATTCTTTTCCTGCTTTTTAGTCCAATCTCCTTAAATAGTTTTAAGTAATAAAAAGCGTTAAAGTAATAAAAGCGTTGTATAAACGCATCTTCGTCTTCTTATTACATTATCGAAATTTATCAAAGGGACTAATTGCTTTAAGCATCAATATTAGGTTTCATAATTATGTGTTGGAACTGTTAGAGATTATTCAGTTTTCTCTCAGACTGTTTAGTTTGCTAAATTCAGTGTTAGTTTGATCATTACTAAACAATAAAATTACTGAATTGTTATTGGAATGATCAAATAATACATTAGAGCAATTTGTACGTTATTTATTGCTCATTTATCTGCATGGTTATTCTGTTCAATGATTTATGAGTTTTGAGGAGATTTTGGCATATACCCTTAAGTTTTGTTCCATATATTTCGCTTAGATTTTAATATTTCCATTTTATGCATTTAAATCCCTTTATTATCTTGAAGAGTACAAAGATAAAGAATTGAGCGGAATGACATGAATTCACTTTAGTCCGTTAGGTTCTCATCAACTATTTACGATCTAACCCTAGTTTGTTGTTTTTTAGCTGACTTATAGTAGTTCTTCGACTAAGGGATATGTTACTTGGTTCTGCTTCATCTAAGTGTATCTACGAATTCAGCTGCTCCTGCGGAGAAAGCTATATTGGACGCACTACCAGATAATCGAGCGTACGAGTTAATAAGCACCTCCCTTCGTGGTTATGTTAGGGTATAATCGAAATAATATACAGCTCTGTTCTGTCACACTTGATCGATAGCGACTGTTTAGTAAACAGAAATAAATCATTTAAAATTTTGTCGTAAACATACATTTCCTTATAGAGTTCGATCATGTCTGTTACACTTAGCAGAAGCTATATGGATTAGAGCTAACAATCCAAGTCTTTGTATTCATAAGAAATTTGGACCACTTTTATCTCTTCCTTGACCTATTTAGCCCCCAAATGCCCTGGTACGGCCGAGAGTGGGGAGAGTCTGCTCTCCCTCTCCAAATGCTCTCATATGGCTACGCGAATATATAGCCTCTGCCAGGGAAGTCCTACTCACTACCTTCTCGTGGCGCGGGTGTTGTTCACAAAAGTGAGAAGACGAAAGGCGAATGTCCGGCGCTTTAACTGGGTTGGTGGACATGGAAAGTTCACCTAGGGGTATGAACCAACTGTTGGTGACCGGCTACCATGGGACTGCACCTCCTCACGATGCTCCACTGCCTTGTGGACTATACCTTTAGGTCAAAGGCTCCAGGTGTGGCTCCCTAAGAAAACCACCTGCTTCAGTCTGGGCACCTGGGCAGTATCACAGCCCTCACACAAATCGAATGAGATTTGTGAGGCGCATATATATCTGGTGCTTCCTTGTACCAATATTTATGTGTTTAAATAAATAAATAAATAAATAATGAACGATTTTAATTATTATTATCCATACACTTTGTTCATTTATTTTCCTTTACTCCTGTTTTTTTCAAATATACGCTTCATTGGTCAATCATCTGAACACTTTTTACTTAATTTTATAATTTTTAATACAAGTTATTTCAATGTCTATTTTTTCTAAGTCATTGACCTACTTCCTCTTATAAAAAAATTGATCCAAGCATGTACTATTCCTATCACATCTAGTACACCTATCATACTACCGATTTGTACATTTTAATTTTCATGTTTATTTATGTAGTCAAAATTTTCTGTTATCACTGACCTCACAAACTGCTTTGATTGGCTTAATAATTTCATATATTCATATAAATATTATTGTATGTTAAAGCAAAGCCTGACCAGGATCTAATTGAAAACAAAATTGTTCTTCCTACAAATTTCAGTTTTTGTAGTCTATTGATGATTTAATTAGTTTTTATAAAAATTTATAACTCACAGTAGAGCATATATACGTTCACTTTTTAATGAGTTGTTTTAATTAAATAAAATTTCTAGGTGAGACCATAATTTATGCATGAACCAATCACATTTAAGATAACAGGTTTTTGAACTTTGGCACGAAATTCATTTATCAATTTGGCTTAATAATGTTTCAGTATTTGAGCCGATGTCAGTTCGTTATGAAAACTTTAAATTTAGTTCCCACCTTTAACTATCAACTGAAAATTATAATTATAATTCCTCATACTGCTTTATAACTTTCATTTAGTCCTAGTTAGTAGGCGGACATTCTCGAGATCACTTTATTGTCGCTCAAATGTTTTCCATAAATTATAATCTCACCTATTTCTACAGTTAATTTAGATTTTTTATGATTAAATCTTGTTTTATTATTATTTTTTTCTTGTACTAAAGTTGGAAATTGCCTTTATGGAAAATCCGGGTGATTTTAAAAAACAACTTCTCATAGAATTTGATGGTGAACAAGGAATTGATGAAGGTGGACTTAGTAAAGAGTTTTTCCAGCTGATCATTGAACGTATCTTTAATCCAGACTATGGTATGTTGAATAATTTTCATTTTTACTAAAAAAAAACGTTTTAAACTTTTAATTTTTATCAGATAAATTTTAATATTTCAACAAGGTAAACTTTTTGATTAATTGAATCAGTATAGAGACCTCGATGGCCTATGGAGAATATGTTCAAATTATTTGCTACAATTCCTATCAATCCAGCAGGAAACAAATGGATATTCAGTGGAGTGAGATTTTCACAATAGAGTTCAAATAACTCCTATAATTAAATTTCTTTGTATTTACAACACTAGAAACATGAAATGAACGGTTCCACTGATTTTTTTTTAAAAATTTCGTATGCTTGTTGTTGTTTGTTGTTGAATAGCTGGAATCAATCGATAGAAAACCCTTGACTTTGCTTTATTTTATTTTTTATGACTGCTACTCACCCAAGGATTCAAACCGACATCAGTCATGAGTCCCAGTCAATGTCAGTATAACTTATTTGTTCAGTATAGAACTAACTTTTCATTAGTTAATTAACGCTGTTTTGAAAGATTCTTAGTGTTGAGCCACTTATTTCAATGAATAATTATACGATAAAAAACAATAACTGAATACTGTGACATGATTTATTGTGCACTGGACAGGTGGTGGTAGTCAGTGACAGGTTGGGAAAATCAAGAGTCCAGTACAATCAAACATAATTTATCCTCAGTTTAAAAGATCAGCCACTTCACATAAATGCTGTTCAAAGATTTGACGAATGACAGGTAACTTGGTCGGAAAAAAATTGATCAATACTAAATGATTACACAACTATGACAGAAGTCACTACTAATTAACTAATAAGCTGTAACTATCTCAGTCATATAGCAGGTCAGTCTCTCCCCGAATAGCTCACTGGTAGCGTCTGAGATTGTGAAGTTATGGGTGACGTAGGTTCTTATTCTACAATAAACATCCATTCTCTTAAAGTTTCAGGTAAGCATTGCAGACGAGCGCTAACTAGCATAGAATCTTATCCTCCAAGGTTTCCTGTCGACTGCCACCTAATAGTTGCTGTAAATTTATCTTACTACATAAAATATAATTTAGCCGACGACAATTGAATTGGCCTCAATCTTTATTGTATGAGAAACCTATTTTATCTTGTTATCCTCAAATACTACTGCTACTACTACTACTGCTAATAATAATAATAATAATAATAATAATAATAATAATAATAATAATAATCTCAGTACATTTTTCCTGTCTTATTTTCCCCATTAAGGTATGTTTGTACTAGATGAAGAAACCCAAAATTATTGGTTTAATCCAGTTCCTCTGGACGATATGGAACGTGAATATTGTTTAATTGGGACTTTATTGGGTTTAGCAATTTATAATGATGTTATATTGGATGTTAATTTTCCATCAGTGTTATATCGAAAATTAGTTGGAAAATTGGGTACATTTGAAGATTTATTTGATGCTAGACCTGTAAGATTTTTCCACATTATATATCTAAGTAATATTAATTGTTTAAAGATCCGCATCATGTTAAAAGACTAATATTTGAACGAAGATTATTCTTTTCGATAAATTCTCTTCAGGTTCTACAACTATATATCCAAATTAATAATCCGAAAAAATGGCCAAGTTAAAGGCAAAGTACATCGTTTAATGCATGTAAATTTAGGAATTTCAAACCAAATAGAATAAATTCACTTAGTATTGTTTGTTTGGATCTTCCCATCGATGTGTTTAGGACTGCAACTGGTCAGTCTCTAATTGGCATATGAACATCAACTCTGAGGTGCAGGTACATCCAGCTGACGAGTCCCAAATAGGACGAAACGCGCGTCCTGGATTCCACTGCTAGCCACTATCCATCTCTGCTTACAAATAGAATAAAATTGTTAATGTTGATATGACTCATATAGAATGTTAACTTGAATCTGTATATATGGTAAGTGAAAATTTAAGATCTGTGATCAGAATAAATATGGGTCAGATAGGGTGGGAGAGATATAATAGTATAATTAAAATTCGATCAAGTGGAAGATTAAATTGTGTGAAAAATTAGTAAGACGTAATAAAGAGGGATCAATGCGAAGTGAATGAATCATGTATAGGGGGCTAATAATAATGTTTAACCAATAATAATAATAATAATAATAATAATAATAATAATAATAAAATACAAAGATTTGTGTATAAAGATAAGTGAGACAACTACATTTGACTACGAAAGGTAGTAAGTACATAGTCAAATTAGGTCATACAATAGCTAAGATGATTGTTCATTAATTGACCTTGTGGTTGGCCAAGGGAGAAGTAGGGGTTGGAGATATTTCTTCTGTACACATAGCTCAGGTTTCTGCATCCTGATGGCTACTGCCTCCGCGATGTACTTTGCCTTTAACTTGGCCATTTTTTCGGATTATTAATTTGGATATATAGTTGTAGAACCTGAAGAGAATTTATCGAAAAGAATATTCTTCGTTCAAATATTAGTCTTATAATATAAATTGCCTATTTATAAATTCAGACTGATGATATATTAACGTTGAAAATAATATTCTACATTGACTTCTTCCTTTTTCTTGATTTCCATCATTAAGTTTAATCAATATATCATTCTTAAGATTGATGAATAATTCAACTCACTAGAACTGATGTTTCTTTGCACTAATGTCAGGTTAATTTACAATGTTTTTATCATACATTGTACCACAGCCATGTTAAAATTAATTAATATGCCCTATACAACAATTTATCTGTCCTACTAAAGCTGAAATTTCACTATCTAAATGAAAAAAAAAGAAACGTACATATCTATTCGGTCAATTGTTATCACTCTATAATAGAGTTTTTCAAAGATTTCTTTCATAAATATGCTATTTATTTATTATTCCTTTTGAATAAGGACAATTGTTTTTAGCTTCATTGATTTTCTTGCCGATTTTTTTCGCTATTTCTTTCAATTTGTGAGACTAAAAAAAACACACAACCTATTTTCACTAAAATTATTCCCTTTTTCTCACTCCCGCTTCCCTAAATTCTTGTCTTACATTTCTTTGAAATGATTAATTTCTATTTTTTGTTGCTATATAAGGATTATCTTTCAAGATAACAGTTTATATGTTCATTTAATGGGTGCTTATTGATTACAATTTCATAATAATTGTAATACTATTACCACTACTACTACTGATAATATTAGGATATTGTTCCGTTTGATTCTTTTCCTCCCCCTCTCTCTTACTCTCCTTTTCAGTTATTTCTTCCTCAGTAATTTGTTATGTGTATGTAATTCATTTAACAACACACTCTTATTTGTCATCTGTATACACTGGATCTTACCTATTTCCCATAATCAGTTACGTATATCGGTTCCATTTGTTTATCGTGCCATTTATAATATACCAGTTCACAAGCATATTTTTATAATACTACGTTTTTTAGATGACAAATATGGTATACTAGTGCTTGTGTAATGCTTTTACAGAACTTTCCTTTTGAGTTTCTTTTACAAGAAAGATAACAGTATTCAGTGGGTAGAGAATTTAAGAGATTTTAGCTCAAATGCAGTTGGAGTAGTAGTGCAAACACATTTCTCACTTGTCTTTTTCTCAGTTTTGAACATCAAGATTATTTTGTGGTTTTCATTCATCCATTCCCAGGAATACTTTATAACTTTTCACTGTACTTTTTTCTTTTATTAACTTTTCTCTGTTTCGGTTTTGAACTACCACAACATGTTGAACAATAGTAATTTGTCTAACATTTTTAGCAATCTCAACACTTGATAACTGCTCATCAATTCAAATTTAGGTCCTCACGCGCGTGTGATCTCATTCATCTGTTTTTTTAGAATTCGATGTTTTACATTCGTGACTGAGGGTCAATTACACGAATCTATCTATCTATCTATCTATCTATCTATCTATCTATATATATATATATATATATATATATATATATATATATATGTATGGTTATTTTCTGCCTTTTTTAGAGTTTAGCCCAAGGATTAAAAAGTCTATTAGAATATGAACATGATGATATTGAAAACGTGTTCGGTTGTTCATTCTCTGTCAATTACCTTGATCCATTTGGTAATGTTGTTACACATGAACTAAAGCCGGATGGAGCTACAGTTCCAGTTACAAAAGAAAACCGTAAAGTAATTCTTTCTTTTTTTCGTTTATTTTTTTGGTCTTTAACTTTGCGTATATTTTTTTCTTTCATTTACTTTAGTCAATTTGATGCTTATGTATTGTTTTAGTAAGTCAATTGCATAGCAAATAAATTGGTCAGTTAAATTTCGGCAATAATTTTTTGTGGTTACACATAGTTTGTTGTCTTTTCAAGCATAACTAACATATGTTTAGGTTATTTTCAGGTTGATATAATTATCCTTATGAGATATAACATTGTCATCAAATTTATTGTAAATTAACCCAAGTAATCTATAATCTACACATTAAGTTATTGAATGAAGCAGACTTAAACGAAAAGTTTTTATTTTCAGAGATATTTTTCTAAAATTGTACTATGACATTTAACAGTATGATATTTACATGAATATTATACTGCATCTCTGTGCTGATGTGGTATGGCAACTCGAACTGATGTACGTACGTACGAAGTTCTACGTTGTGACTGACTCACTGACTATTTACATGATAAAAATGTTTTTTACAGCTTGTTGAGAATAAAATTCATTTTTGAACTAAGACTCTGTTATTGGATAGTGATCATTTAACGAAAGTTTTGGTTAGGTGATGAGTTAAGACTTACAATAGTAAATAGATTGATCAATATCAACTCAATAAGTTGAATATTATAACTACAATAGATGAATGGGATGTGAATATATATGGAATTTTATGTATCAGTTACGTAAGGACATGATGATGTGATAAAAAGATTTTAATTCTGGCTTATTTATTGTAAATAAGAACACCAAATATCTCTTTGTGTCAATGTTAACAATAAATTATAATCTGAATGAAGATAATCAAAATGCTTTTGTTACAATGATTGAAGGTACTAGAGATTAAATGTAATAAGGTGATATCAGAAAGGATTATGAATAAAATAATGGAGTAATGAGAATTAATTGGAGAGAAAAAGGGATTTTTTCAAGTGTAAAATCATAGAAATATAAAATAAATGAGTGGATAAATGGTAATGATAATAATAGTTTAAGGACACGGTACAGATTACAATAAGTTGTACTTCATTTCATGAATTCCAAGAGCTTCTAGGCTGTTTTCAAGGAATTGACTACGAAGAAATCTTGTCAGACTTGAACGAATTCTATGATCATCTTGTGAATCAATCGAATGATTGGGATCGATTAGATTTTCAGGGACAGAATGCGTTATCACTTTCGTCCCATTTTTGTAGAACCACACGAATATGTTTTCTCAATCGAGTTAAAAGCGAATGCTAGCGACGTTTCATGTTCATCGCTTCACAAGAGCGGGTGAACTGATAGATGCACTCGTGAATGATACAATTGAAAATCTGAATAATTCAGCAAATGGTTGCGTAACTTGATAACTCCGGAGTTCAATTTCTTGTAGTGTCATGTGTAGCATCAACATTATATACGTTTTTCGGTGATTGCCGTTGAACAAAAGCCCCTAGGAGTCTAAGTTTACCACTAATATCTATTCATCTATTTGGTTTACATGTAGCCAACTTTATTGAGATTCTGTAAATTCTTCAAGAATGGTGATAAGATAACCTAGTTTTCAAATGGTTAGGCCATGTAGTTAAACATCAGTATCAAAGTAACGATACTAGTTATTAACTTTAGAAAATTGTTCCTGATTTAGATAATACTGAGCTAAAAGAATTATTATCCATGTTATCTTCTAGTTGACTATTTTAAATACGGAAACACTTACAGTATTATTAGAATCACATCTAACGTTTTCGCTTACCACTGATATTGTTATTACTTGTACTAATTTTCTATATGTCTTGATAATTTTATTTCGTTATACTGTTATGGTGTAGTGGCAGCTTGAACCAATCTATATATATGTGTCATTTTCTAGGTTACAAATAACTGACTGACAGTGAATTACAAATTTATATTTCTGACTTACAATGTTGTATTGTCGTGTTATATTTAATACACAATTAAAAAGTAATTAATTATCGTTATAGATCAGAAGGGGTTTTGTAGAGAATTTGGTATTTTCATAGTTGAAATCATGAGTTAATTGAAGTTAGACATTAACACCGTTGAATGCCGGCTCAGTGGTCTATCGGTTAAGTGCTCTGGCGCGAGACTGGTAGGTCCTGGGTTCGAATCTCGCGAGTGCGGGATCGTGGATGCGCACTGCTTAGGAGTCCCATAATAGGACGAAATGGCCGTCCAGTGCTCTCAGGTTTTCCATGGTGATCTAGCTTCAATTGACTCATGATTTCAAGTATGAAAATTATCATTATGCTTATTATTATATATAAATTATAATTTGTTCATAATAAGTTTTGCTTTAAAAAACCTTCCCTTTTTTGTCTCATGTGTTAAATTAAAATTAAGGAATATGTAGATTTGTATTCAAGTTTCTTGTTGAATGATTCTGTAAAAAAACAATTCAATGCTTTCCGAAGAGGTTTTCAAATGGTTGTTGATGAAAGTCCATTAACATTTTTATTTCGTCCAGATGAATTAGAGCTACTTGTTCGTGGAAGCCCAGTAAGTATTATAATTCGTATGAAACATTTAACAATATATTTAAAATGTCCATGTTTATATATGTATATATAATATCAGAACTCTGAGATGATAACTAGTTTATAAGAAATCATTGACTGTATAACAAACTTAAGGTTTGTTATTGAAACTGAACGTATAGCATGAATTAACAACTATTAAATTTCATTGATAATGTTGATTGTAACTAAGTCAATTCACAGTAAATGTGTTATCCATCTACACTCTTATTAGGGCTAGGTTGATCAGTGAGTATTGATTAGTATTATATTTGTCTAGTCTTTTTTCAGTGCTGATCAAAGTCTATAGATCAAGTTGTAATGTGTGGTCAATAGTCTAAAGACTTGACATTACTGGTTTCGATCCTATAGGAAAAACCTCTGTGAAGATTGTAGATACGCTTTGTTGAAGAGCACCAACTAATATGAAATGTAGTATCCAGATGTGTTGTTGTAAACCTTCAACTATCCAACACCTTTGATTAGCTTTGGTTTTTAAGATTGTAACTGCTAGTATCATTTTGTAATACTTCTTTTTTTTATAAATTATCACTGAAACATAAGATAGCTTACACAATCAAATTTTGATCCTGTTTTAAAATTCTATTTTTACTTCTACATTTCTCAATTTTTTTCTTCATAAAACAAATTATACAATTCCTATCTCATTTTAATAGGTATATGATTTCAATGAATTAGAAAGAGTCACCACATATGAAGAATATACATCTGATTCGGCTGTTATCAAAAATTTCTGGTCTGTAGTACATTCAATGACTGAAGAACAGAAAAAACAATTATTACAATTTTCCACTGGTTCTGATCGTGTACCAGTTGGTGGTATGTCCAAAATGAAATTTACTATAGCACGTCAAGGTGCTGATACTAATAGGTAAATTAATTTTGATTACTAATTACTTTATAAATAATATATATATTCAATTTTCCGTTGGTAAGTTTGAATTTTAGTAGTCAATTTTCAATATTTTGAATTTAAAACAGTTAAGAGGCTACTGAAATGTAAGATGGAAATGGTTGATATAGCGGTTATACTCGACCTGGTCTTATTTGCTAGCTTAATGTGGTAGTTGAACTTGTATGTTGCAGTGACTCAGTCGAGCTACATTTGAAGTAAACGAATACTTGGTTGGGATAACCAATTTATTGTTTGATGCAGAATTACCGAGTTCTTTCATAACATGTAAAAACCACACATTAACTACTTCATTTGCAATTCTCCCATTAATTGTCCTTCTCAGCCTTCTTTTGATAGACATTTCACTTGTGATTGGTGTTACATACCACTTATGTCGACAGACATAAGTAGCATACATCACATATTGAATAGAACACTCATTCATTTTGGTAATAACGTACCACGTAGGTGGGCTAAAAAACAACAAATTCATGGTCTGAAAGCGTAATGGTTCTGCCAACTGTACAGGTTTTTGACGACGATGTGGCATGTTCCTTAAACAATCTGTATGTTCAGTTATTCTGTCTCTTTACAACAGAAAGAGGGAATCAGAAAAAGTAGACTGTAAAATTAATGCGCCTCACATTAACCTACAAATTGGTATTGCTAGCTAGCAATTGGGCCTCATGGGTATGGAGGCAAACTCAAAGAGTCATCATTTGGGCTTAGTTATCTCGGTCCTTGGTTGTCAAGACCGGTACCACCTCAGTTCCCCTTTCAGGATCCTCAAGGGAAATCATGCTTTTATGGTGTAGGCCTCCCTGAAATGATAACTATTGTTGTACCTTTTACAGCATTTGAGATGACTTTATTCACAATCAATTTCTTTCTTTACTATCTGATAATTTTTTCCTATTCCTATTATCAACCTTAATCTTCTGTTTTTGACTAATTTTTCACATGGCTAACTCATTTTAGTATCCAGTTTGCTAATCATCGAACTAAATACATCATCGAAAATTCATGAAATACAAGTTGAATGTTCTCCCTCTATTCTACCAATTAACGGTTTTCGATGTAGGCATTTGTAATAATTATAAAGTGAAATTCCTGTTTGTTAGTTTTAAAAAATAAGACAACACCTTAAATGTGAGTGTTTTTGCATCCTATCACGTTCATATCTGTTAAATCAAGCTTTATGAGTTTTATGTATCACATAACGAATAAAAGCTAGAATACTATTATAAACATTATTTCAATTCAATAATATACTGTAACTTGCTTATCGAGTACAATCTATTGTATTCATGTATAATTGATAATTACAATACTTAATTAAATAAATCAAAGTTGTTAGAGTGATATTGAATTTTGCTTGTAGCTCGTCTGCTTTTACGTTTTAATGCTTTAACAAATATCAATGCGTTAATGAAACCTTTTTATCAGAAATTCATAGTTGTGTGATGAATGTATTTTGCCAGTATTTCTTGCTAAGATAATTCAAATTAAACGATAAATACTTCCTGAATAAACACTGTCTTTAATGTTTGCATTTTATTGGCACAGATTCTTACTTTTAAAAGAACCCTCAAATTCTTTACAAGTTCATCTCTCCTTAGTAATCTGTGTTATATTGTTCAGTCGAAACTGTTGAGGTACGTAATTACGATGTGAAGATGATTATTAATCCTCCAAGTGATTAGTAGCGACTAAGAATCTCAGGGATAATCCATCTGATTGCTGTACTTCGTAATGGTGGTTAGAATCCCACAAACAATAGTGCATTCAAAACTGTAGATACACACTGTCTATTTCGTCTAGGAATTTCTCTTGATTGCGTCCCACCATTGATAACTAAATTTGTAGATGGGATTTTTCGGTATGGAAACATTATTTTAGATTAATAGTATAAGTAACGCACAATTATTATTCATAGTGACACCATATTATAATCTGAATAAATTTTCTCCAGATAGATTTCTCTTTTGAGTTCATTCAGTAATGTGTTTGTTTGCATCATGTTTTTTAAACATTTAAAAAAAATTATATTTATGTATAGGCATTTTGTGTATGTGTACACATTTCCATTATTGTGATTTCTTTCATTTCAGATTACCATCTGCTCATACTTGTTTCAACATTCTTTTATTACCGGAATATCAAAGTTTAGAAAAATTACAACAATCATTGTTACTGGCGATAACACATTGTAAAGGATTTGGAATGTCATAAATTCAAGTTGTCTTCTCCTTCTTCTTTCTTTTTGTCCTGTGCATAGCTTCTTTGTTTTATCATTGGTCGACTACTTTCTTTCTTCTTGTTTTTCGATTTCCTATAGTTTATTTTTTTGGTTACCTGCGGGATTTCCCTCTCTCTCTGTTTCTCGATAGGATGAGGGAAATATTAATCAATTACTTGGGTGTTTTTAATTTGTAGTAAATTTTCTTGAAACTCAGTCACTATTTTATCATATTTTTTTTGGATTAAATCTGTACCGCCAACGTTGTTTGTTTATCATCAATGTTCAACACGTATAAACACCTACCTACCTATATAATTATAAATAACATGGTTTTTTGCACATAACTACATATATATTGGCAGCAGACATAAATTACAATTTCATAAAATCTGCTCAAATTATTGCATATACAGTGAAATATATCAGTATTTGTTATACTATGAACAAATGATAACTATATAAAGAAACAGAAGATCAGCACAATGTTTGCACGTTTACATAATGATTATACTCATCATATTTGTAACACAATGTAAACGTACATGTGATTTACGTATTCAATCGACCAAATGAATTAGTCAGCTGATTAAATCATATAGTAATAATAATAATAAATATGATACATCTCTTCGATGAATCTAGTTTAGCTATTTTTGTCCATTCGTCTGTCAATGTATGAACCTGTTTGTTCATATCAATACATGTCTTTCTTTCTGAAATGTCCGGTATACGAAGGGAACACTTAAGGAGACTACTGAATAATTGTGTAATGATACTCACTGTACATCGTTTTCCCACGAAGAAAACACAACTTTAACATTTAGCCATGTTTCGGTTTCTTTTTTAAAAAACAACAAAATCAAAACGTCGGTTTATCAGAAAAAGAAAATTTAGTTTCATTTTCTCTAAATTACGAACTTTAGTTTTTTTCCTTTTTTTTAATGAGCTTTGTATTTGACACGTTTTTGAAAAGATTTCTCCTCTTGCAATGAACAAAGTGGAAATCGACCAAACATCTTCATAATCAATTTATTGTGTGTATTTTCGTTTTCCCATGTGTCCATTTTTCCTCTTTCTCTTTGTTTATTATCTTGAATGATTGATGTAACTATTAATATATTATTTGTCGTGGTGTGAATACTACTGCTATGGTGATCGTTATCAGTAGTATATATCGCAGACACATGGTTAAAAGTAAATTAGAATTGCAAAATAAAATAAACGTTGTTTACTATTTGTCCACGTTGTTTGTCTTTTCCATTTATTGATTTGCCTTTCAATCTCAACGAGTTTTTAGTTGTTTGATTGTACGCTTGTACTGTCACTTAGGTTCTATTGATATTTCTACACATATGAAAACTTCTCTGAAGTATGTTTAGTCATTATAAACTGCGCTACTGTATACGTTGAAATATCTTAATGTCTATTGAATATGCGATGTTATACTATCGTTAAGATTAGGATAGTAATTCTTAATTGTAATGGCTTTTTAAGAATCTTACTTTTGTTGCGTTTTCTAGATCGAAGTTTCCTAATGAGTTGTTATTTTAGATCTCATAAAACTCCACTAAATGAAATTACTGCTAAAAGGGTTGTTATTTGAGTTTTTTGATGATTTCTATGTAGATACTTCCAGCTAACATGGAACTCGATTGTCTTCCATGCTCATTGACGACTAGCTTACTGCAACAGGCTTGTAAATGTTTCTTTTTTTTGAACTATCAATATATGACTGGTAATATTTTGTACTTCTCAATAAATGGCATCATTTAGTTTCATAAATTGTCGGCAGTTGAAAATCTAGAGAAATGACCTACTCTAACCTTTCAACGTGAAGACATAATCTGTTATTCATTAGTATCGGTGATTTTATTTGTCAGGTCCTGCCGCCTTCCCACTTTTGATTTGTCTGATGGCCATCTTGACTTCTTCGACCGTTGGTGGAGTGATATCTATTGGAAGGTCAGTGTGGGCTGCTTCGATGTTCGGTGGATTCAATGGGGCTGGTCTATTCAGCAGTTCCTCGAAGTATTCTGCCCATCTTTTCTTCTGTTCTTGAATCTCAGTGATTGTCTTTCCTTCTTTGTCCTTGACTAGTCTCTCTAGTTTGCTATATCTCCCTGCCAATTTCTTCGTTGTATCATATAGTTGTTTCATATTCCCTTCTCTTGCAGCTTTTTCCGCCGCCGTTGCTAGTTCTCCCATGTATTTCTGCTTGTCGGCTTTAATGCTATTCTTCACTTGCTTGTTTGCTTCTGCGTAGTCTGCTTGTGCTTTGACTTTCTCTGCTCGTGTTCGGCTGTTGTTGATTGCTAGTTTCTTGTTCTTCCTTTCTTGAATTTTGTCCAGGGTTCCCAGAGAGATCCATTCCTTGTGATGATGCTTCTTAGGACCAAGAACCTGCTGACACGTTGAAGTTAGTGCTTCTTTTATCCCTTTCCAGTTGTCCTCCAAAGTAGTTTCTTGTTCTTTCAGTAGATCCTGTAGAGCTTGGAACCTGTTGTTGAGAGTTATCTTGAATTCATGGAGCTTGTCAGCATCTCGAAGGAAGGCTGTATTAAAACTTTGTAGTGCTGTTTGTCCAGTTGTCCAGTCTTTCTTAAGCTTCAGTCTCATCTTGGCCACAACCAGGTGGTGATCTGAAGCTATGTCAGCTCCTCTCCGGGTTCTTACATCTTCCATTGATCTTCGGAATTTTTTGTTGATACAGATGTGATCTATCTGGTTCTCTGTGGTATGGTCCGGTGAGATCCATGTAGCTTTGTGTATGCGTTTGTGTGGGAATATTGTGCCGCCTATAACCAATTTGTTGAAAGCACATAGGTTTGCAAGTCTCTCCCCATTTTCATTTCTCTCTCCTAGTCCATGTCGTCCAATTATATCTTCATATCCTGTGTTGTCCACTCCAACTTTAGCATTTAGATCTCCCATAAGGATGGTGAGGTCCTTTCTTGAGCACTTTGCTACAATTGATTGCAGCCTTTCATAGAACTGATCTTTACCATCGTCGTTGCTATCATTGGTGGGTGCATAACATTGGATAACGTTCATTGTGATCCCTTGCTTCTTTGTTCTGAATGATGCTTTGATTATCCTGGGTCCATGAGATTCCCATCCCACAAGTGCATTTTGTGCTTCTTTGGACAGCATTAGAGCAACTCCCTGAGTGTGTGGAGCATTTTCCCCTTCGTGACCGGAGTGCAGCAGCATCTCTCCTGTACCTAGCCTTTGTTGTCCAGTTTGTGTCCAATGGGTTTCGCTGATTCCGAGTACTGCCAAGTTGTATCTCCTCATTTCCATTGCTATTTGGCTGGTTTTTCCTGTCTCCCACATTGTCCGGACGTTCCATGTACCTATAAAGAGTGTTGCTCTGGTTGTTAGAAGGTGCATCGGTCTCGTGACTTCCGGAGAATTTCGGCTTTCATCATGAGACGTCATAATTATTCCTTCAACTCCCAGGGCAGAGTTTAAATGGTTTGAATTATTTTTTCTGGTTAGCGTTTTTTTAGCGAGTTAGCTTTTCTACGGGATGGGGTCGCTAACCCCATGCCCAACCCTCCTCCTTTGTGTGGGCTTGGGACCGGCAGTAACTCTAGAAGAGCTACAGGCGGAGTTGTTTGAATGATAACTCTACTAAATCTTTATCGGGGCAGCGGTTATGTCATTGGACTTTGAATCGCCAAGTTTCGGGTTTGAACCCCATTCTACCTACTTTGATTTGTACAGCCAAGTAATTTCATTAGCCCCCACACTTGAAGTGCGGCTTGAAGCCAGACGCACGAATTTTCTCCTTGTAAATGAGTTACGAGGTACTACAGATAACTTAATAAAATGATTTTTTGCTTCGTTGTACAAATATATTATATTTTATGCCGCTTAGAAGTAAACCCAAGTGATGAAATAAAATAAGTTGGTTCTCCTTTCTTCTCTAAAACACGAAGAGTATTTCCAAATGTATATTCTTTCTAAAACATTCAAACGGGTTTTCATATATTCAATAATTAAATAGTTTACAGTCAATATTCGATTACAAGTGCTTTTGTGTTTTATATACTTGTTAATGAGTACTCTAACAGATGTATACTAACTGTAAAGAGTGATTTTGTCATAATATACATGTCATAGACTTCATAAACTAGTCTCATATAAATCTAATTAATATAATGCTTATTATTTTAAGAGCCTTAAAATCAAAATTTAACAATGTTAAATATATCCTGGTTAATAATGAGATATTGAATTAGATTGTGTTCGTGGTTGATATTTAAGATTATTTCTAGATTGTGAAGCTTCTTATTTACCCATTCCAATGTGCTTTAATAAAGACTTTAAAGTGCTTTAATTAAGACATGCTTTCTAGTTGACCTTAAAAATAACTTTATTTTAAAAAAAGTTGCTTGATCCTAATCATTTATATTATTGGTAAATTTGCACTAAAGCGGTTTTTAAGACCATCCTAATTTATAACTCGTTTGAAAGTTTTAATGAGTTTTTAGATTTTTTAAAATAATTATTATCATTGTCTATCTGATCTCTGTTATTGTAATTCTGTAGAAGTGGTCGCATAGATGGTAGTTTGCTGTAGTTAACATCCAACTCCATTCAGAGGGACATAAAATAATATGTAACATTTTGATTTGTGTGATCGTTTTTGATAAAGCGCAAGTTTTCGATAATTTTCATACTACATTATGGAAATTTTTTGAAATAATGTCTGCTTTTGGATACTGTAAAAAACCACTTTCTTTTTAATGTAACATCGATTGGGTTTCTTGAAAAGCTCTATCGAAGCCAGTCAACGGAAATGTCAAAGATGTAGAAATAGATTTCTGACTGAACATTTGTTTAATGTACTTCGGAAACTTGTGCTACCGGTATGTCTCAATGTATCTTATTTCAGCTAACCTATATGTAGCAGAAGAGTAATACTGTATCAACTGGGATATCCAAGCTGTAATACGATAACCTGAATGGCTTTGTACTGATAATGCAAGAGTCTGCAATATGTATGATTCCTACCCCTAGAAGACGATTTGTGACTACGGATAATTAATGTTTATGTGAAATTACTCTTTATATCCATTTTCAAGCAAAGTAACAATGATAGTGAATAAATAATCTATGGTGATTGGTTAAACAACAAAAAAAAACACAATTATATTGTTCTGACGAATAACCGTAGTAAATCGAAATCTGTATTAGGAAATATCATAAAAGTATAGAATAGGAACGACCAGTCAGACGCGCATGTAACTTTTAGGCTTGTAGGGGAAGTTTAATTATCACGTATAACACAGTAGAGATACCTTTATATACTGCTCAAATCGTTCAAAATGATAACGAAAAATTATTTTTTTGTCACTGTAGAATAAAAATGATTGTCATAACTTTCCAAATGGTCTATTGTTTTTTTTTGCATATTGTGTATAACTGACAATTCAACATTATCATTAAATCCTAACTATAAATCTTTAATTACGAAGCAAATCTTAACCTGGTGGCTTTCTGTTTCATGGACGAACAAATCAAATAGTATCTCTTGCAATTTCGCGTAAAATTCATTCATCTGTAAGGCTACTGCGAATCTTTTCATGATAGCTGATGTCAGTTCGTGATGGAAAGTAATCCTAAATTTTGGGACTTTTAGAAATTTATTTAGGTACCATCAACATTTCTAGAAGAAAGATAATCTATGTCTATAAGGATGTTGTGATGTCTAACACTATGCCAAGCCTACATGGGTTATTTTGGCTTGTGGACAGACCAATTTATTCATTCTTCTTGAGTAGCATTTTGAACTTTTCAATTATTCGCTACTACTCACTACTCAGTCATATTGTGGTGGACGCTGTTCATAAGATTGTTTGTAAGTAGTATGTAGCTGAATGTGGCGTAGAAGTTATCAGTCGTTAGATGAAGAGAAAATTTTCAGTACATTGAGAGCTCAGCGCAGAAAAAACACTTGATGATCAGATGAGGCTACAGTTTGGATTGCAGAACACTCCGCAAGATGCAAACGGATGATCATAGGCTATGTATACATATCATATAAGCGCTTGTAGTTTATCACGACATTGTTTTCACCGATTGCCTTGTTTTATTGCATGAGTGACGTTATAATTCGTATGATAAGTGTGATAATTAATGTATTATATCGTAAATAGAAGGCATTATTCGATATAATAAGCCTTATATGATAATTTATAAGAAAACTTTTCTCATGTTTTGCAAAACATTATGAATAGGTGTTTGATTGGTCAATGAATTATTATTTTTAAATTGACGAGAATATATTATGTCGTCTTTAGAATTTTAACTTTAAATAATCTACCCATTTATTCATTGTGATATAAAAAAAGCATAAATGTTATGATAAGTACAAATGTGTTTTTATTCATACAATTGCATTAAACTATATTTGAAAATATGTTTGTACGTATTATTTAAAAATCATGATTATGACGAGTCTCAAATGGGATGAAACGTCTGTTCTAGATTCCACTGTTAGCAACCATTTATCTTTGTTTATAATATTTGTAATTTAAGGCAATATCGAGGCAATCCGTACAGCATGCATATATGTCAATAAGAGACTGATCAATTGCAGTCCTGAATATCAATAGGGAGATTAAAACAGACAACATAAAAATGAATAAGGACTCAAACACTAAACAGTTTAGTGTAAAACCATTTGATTTGTCACTCTGTTTTTTTAAGCGAACCAGATAATTCCTTTAGCTTATACATTAAAAACTAGAAGTATAATAATTCACTTGTTATTGTTT